ACTATTCAACACGCTCCAATCTGATTATGCTATTTAGCTTAAATAAGAGGGAAAGATTGATTAGAAGCAGTTTAGTTTGTTGATCTGAGCTTCACATCACTGGATGCAAGGGATAATAGTGGTTGCAGTTTCAAAGTAAACACTTTGTAAGTACGTTGTGGGAAATCACAAAGGCAGTTCAGAAATGAGAAACTGAATTAATTTATAAATTAATTTATAAACAATTAAAACAGCACATCAAAAGCAGTGAAAAAAATTTAACGTGCGCAGAAGCTAGTGAAAAACATATTTACTACAAAAAGTAGGACATATGTGTTTTATATTATTTTGTTGTAACAATGCTTTTGGACAACAAATCTTAAAAAAAAATAATTTCCATTTTAAATGGTGTCACATTTGTAAGGAACATGCACTTGTGGGATGAGGAAAAATTCTGCCAAATAGCTCATTTTGCTGTTGTCACTTGTTTTGAGCTTCTGCAGGTGCTGTCAATCAGGAGCCAAGTTGTAAAATTTACTGTACTACCAAGAATTGTTGCAATAATCATCCAAACACAAATTTCCTTTTTGGGCTAAATTTGTATTTGATAAATTATTCAAATGTATTTATTTCATTTATACGTATTTTGTATTTTCACATTGTTTGAAAGTGTTATTGTTTTTATTCCCCCATTTTTTATGACATAGTGTCCCTTTTTTTCAAAGTTTCTCTATTTTTCAGCTGAAGTACTCAAACAAGAACTTGACATGGACCAAGAACCAACGAAACTCAGCTTACAAAAGGTGAAAGTCTGTCTGATGCTCACACACTGACCTGCGGTTTGTCAGTGTTTTCATTTACACTTGTTTTTTGTATCCCAGATATAGTTCATCAAACATGGAGGGCACTCTCACGAGGCAACAAAAATATGAGACAGACAGATTTTCCTGCTCAGTGGCACCGCAGTACTGGACCTGGGGAAACCACATGAATGGTAATTTAGACACTTTATTATGCAGAGAAAAGAGGGAGGGAAGTGGGGTAAGTACCAGAGGGTTTAGCCCACGACTTAAAGCGGGAAACTAAAAAGCAGATAATACCAAACCCCCAAAGTGGGGATGGATTTAACTGCATCCCTGTGAGAATTATTTAAGTCCCTCCAAGAAGTGTTATTAAAAAAATAAATAAATAATAAAAATCTGAATTAGGACATGTTCTAAAAGCCACCATCGTCAGATCCAGTACAGTTTATATTCACATAAGCTCATTTCATGAACTCTGTTTTATATTAAGTAATTTATGCACTTTTTTTTTTTTTACAGACTGCAAACGTTCTGTTCAAGAGCGAGCAGCTCCRAACTACTCTTGGACACCAAAGTACGCCCAGCCTCCCTCTGAAGCAGCAGATTATCAACACAATGTGTACATCCCAGGCACCACGTCTGACTGCAGCACGCTGAAGCTGACGCCCAGAGGAGAGCTGGATGTTTACAACACCTTCTCCACCTTTGGGAAGAAAAAGAAATTCATCTCAAACTACYAACAGTCTTTTGATACAGAGGATGAAGTCATGAGCAATGCTGGTTTTAAATGAGCAGCGGAGACGCTTAGTTTTGTGCTCGCTGAGTTAAATTGCATCTATTGATGTGAGGTCCTGTGAAAAAGTTATGAACAATTAATATTTAATCTGTGCTAGAAAACTCTTTGAACAACATCAGTTTCGGGAAAAAGAGTTTATATTGGGCTGATTCACAAGCAAACGATSGGTTCATTGGAAACTAAGTTCCAACTTTTGACATTTTTGATCCAGTCAAAGATATTTCTAATCAGTTTATGCAAATGCTTCTTTATAAACAAWTGTCAGTTTCATATTATGCAGCTATTTCCATTGAAATCTATGGTTATTTGCAACTTTAGATGCAGTATTTGAAGCACATCAGTTGCATGTCAGATTTTTTTTATGCTGGAAAATAATCGCAATACAAAATGAATAATGATGTAAAAGTTACTAAAAATATTTTTTAAAATTGTAGCTCAAACAGTAGAATTTCATTTTATTTTTTGACCATGTTCTAATTAGCTATTACCTCATTATTCTAGTTGAAAATAAAGTTCCATTCCTCCGATTTGTGGTTGTCGAAGACATATCTGCAACAAGTAAGATATTAACTCTTTCTACAGAGCCTCACTTCAACCATCTGAACAGTCCATTTAAGATTTGGTTAAACACTGACTGTGTGCTGCTAATTTTATCGTAGCTTTAAATTGTATCTATATAATTGCTTTGAAGTTTCTGTGGCTCTGTTAGTAAATGTTTTCAAAACTGTTTCAATTACAGGCACACACCTTTCATCTTTTAAAATGAAGGTAATGAGTAAAACKACTGAGGAAGTACATTTTATCAGTAATGCGGTTTAATAAAACTATGGTTTGTTGGACCAACAATTCTCTGTTAGCACAGACTGATAGCAAAAATGTAAAGAAAATAGATTTATTGTAAATATATTGTAATATTATTTTTCTGTAATCCAACGTGTGTTCACCTATTTCTGAAGAGCTTTAAAAAACAGTCCTAATGCACTGACATCTCTGTACATACATTTTTGTTATTCAGTTGATATTTGTTGTCTTAGCTCTGTTACATTGCTGTGTACGGAAGCAGTAACTGGGAAAAAAAACTGCTTAGAATAGCTTTTAAAATAAGAGACTCTATTTGATACATTTAATATACTTGAAAAAATGTACAACAAACCAAAAAAATAATGAAGTTGTCGTTCACGCATGTTTTAGATGACTAATGAAATAATGTTATGTAATTTTCCTGTCTAATTGGTTCTAGTCTCCCAGCTATGCAACCATACAAACTACTCTTCTTCATTGATTTGCTTTGCAGCAATGATTTGATCTCTTCTTGTCTGAAATTGTTCATATTTTAAGACACAAATACATAAAAAGTCACAGTTTGCTGCTCTAAATGTCAGGCTGTAAGAGAGAGGAAAATATATACATTATCAGTCAGTCATTGCTTACATTACTACATTCTTACTTTATTTACCATTAGTCTTTGTCTTTGAATAAAACAAATAAGTTATATATCTGTATATACAGTTGTTTATGTTCAATAAAGTGTATCAATAAATCATCTTTCAACCTTTTGTTGTTAGTGGTTCTTTTTATATTTTTTTATTTATTTTTTTCTTGGTTACTGAACCAAAGTCATTGCTTTGAAGTGATGGTTCAGATCATTTAAAGTTCAGTTCTGAACAAATATCATCTTACCTGTTGTAGATCCCTGCTTGAATGTCCTTACAGGAATGTAATTATGAACCAACTAATGAGCTTATTATTTATTATCATTTACAAGCTGAAAKAGCAGCAGCTAACTTTAGCCCTCCAGGTTCAGCCTGGGACACTTCTGACATCAATGTCATTACATTTCTTTAAAAAATAACTGTCTAATTTAAAATGGATGTTGGTGTGAAGATTTGTAGACCAGCCTTTATACGCATTAATTATTTTACTAATATTATAGAAATCTTCCTGCTTTAAGCTCTGTTGTATTAGCTGTTAGATTTCCAATACGGATCAAATAAAACTCGATTTGTCCAAACTGTGTAAGTTTAAAGACTTGTTCATTAACTTTTAACAAAAACTTCAAAATAACTTATACATTCCTTTTATGTGTGCTGATTGTGACAGAAATAAGTTAATTAGTGATCAGTGTCCATCTACTACATGTAATAGGATGGCACACCCTATATTGTATATAAGCATAATTGCAGATCTACATTTCCCACATTCAAAAGCTAACAGCAACAATCCTCAGTTTGACAGTGTAGTGGTTTAATGAGTGAAAGAGTATTATTGTGTACTCCTAATTACAGTTACAAGTGATCTTATAAGAAGATCTGCTGGTGCTAAGATGCCTGAATGGAATGCTGTAAGAGCATTATCCTCTGACTGGCTTTCAAAAAACAATGTATAAAAACAGAAATCCTTACAAAAAAAGTTATTTGCTCAACATCTGGCATTAAAGCTCAACTGAGTAACTGTGTCAGTTTTTGAAAAGGCTCTCTTTAAAAGAGGTGTCAGATTTCTGCTAGCTGCCTGTTTTACCGAGCACCCCATTGAAATGAGATCAATGTAGTTAAGGCAGCTAATCCCTCCAGCTAAATGTAAAAGACAATAGAAAATGCCTGATCATGTGAATAAGAAAAAAATAAATAAATAAAAAGGAAGAAAAAATGAAATACTCTATTTGTGTGTTTTAAGGCTGAGGATTTCTTTTAACCTTTTCTCTTGACATTCTGGTTGGCGAACCTCTGGTTTTAAACCAGTGCTGCAGAGATTATCCTTCAAATCCACCAACTCTGGCGGAGCTGCTGCAGACCAGTGGGTTAATCTCGAGCCTGATTGCCTCAGTGAACTGCCTTATGGTCMAAACGCTCACTGCCAGGAGCCAGATTAAATTCAAAGTTGGTAAAATGATAATAAAAATGTCAAATTATCAAGTTATAAAATGCTTTTAAGAGTATCTGGAAAATAGAAGGGACGTAAATCTAATCCAGAAAGCACTGCAACCACATATCCTCAGTTATTATTGGTAATTAGCTTAAAACTGTAAAATGGACTGAATTTATAGAGCGCTTTATCAAGTCCCTCCGGACCCCAAAYCGCTTTACACTTACAGACATTCACCCATTCACATTCACACATTGATGATGGCAAACTACATTGTAGCCACAGCTGCCCTGGGGCACACTGACAGAGGTGGGGRTGCCATGCACCGGCGCCACCGGACCCTCTYACCACCATCAGTGGTCAAACATTGRAAATAAAAATGAGGAGCTTTGCTGATCAATAAACAATTATTTCTGTGCTACAATCAGGATCATCAAACATATGCAGAGGTATTTTCTTGAGTAATTTTTGGTAAGAAATGTACTTTTAGAAGTACTTTTACTTCACTGTACTTATGYTTTTACTTGAGTATTATTATTATGAAGTATTGCTACTCTTACTTGAGTAAAGTTTTGGAATACTCTACCCCCAGTTTGTAAGTTCACAGAATGAAGAACAAACATGTTTTAACCAGAAATACATCAAATCAAGACCTACACTTTATGTTGAAGTGAGACCTCTTGTTTGTTCACAATCTCTGTTGTTTTAATGCTATCCTCTACCTACTGAGTGAGTAAATAGTAAACAGTAGTCACTGGAAGTTCTTTACWCTTCGTTTCAAAAGTTTCATAATTAGAAAAATTAGACTTGGAAAAGTGTTTATTCTACTGAAATTTGTTATTTTGTAATTATGTGTAATTATTATTGCAATGACTGTAATTTTCCTTATTTTAGTTTTTAAGAACCCTAGAATTTGCACATAACTTTCTATTTTTTATGAAATCGTTTTTAAATATTAAATCAGATAATATGATCAATGACTCAGTGATTTTTGTAATACTTTTGTACTCTTACTTGGGTAATTTGTAGGACAGTTGAGTAAAAATATGTAAAGGTAGTGCTACTCTTGCTTAAGTACTACTTTTAGGTACTCTACCCACCTCATAGCATATGTGCAACTTAGATTTTAACATTTGTAGCTTTTTTAATTCAACATCTGGCCTAATTTCCACAGCATAGAATAAACCCTATTCACGACTCTCTGCAAAGGTTTCCCGGTGAAACCCACTAGAGAGCAGCATTTCCTCACAGATACCAGTTTTCTACAAGACTGACATGATTTTAGCCTGTAGTTCTTCCTGTGATCACTACTTTTCAAATACTTGGAGGAATGACTGTCATGAAGGAGTTATGGATTTGTGAAATGTGACCCTCAGTCATTAGATKCATARATATTTGGACAGAGACAACATTTTCCTCATTTTGGTTCTGTACATGACCACAATGAAATGTGAACAAAACATTTTATGCAGCTGAAGTTCAGACTCTTAGCTTTAATTCAATGGGTTGAACAAAATGATTGCATWGAACTGTGAGGAACTAAAGRATTTTTTAGACACAATCTTCATTCCAGGGGCTCAAATAATTGGACAAATTAAATAATTGTAAATAAAACGCCGATGTCAAATACTTTGTTGAAAACCCTTTGTTGGCGATGATATTTTCTTCCTCTTTACTGCTCTGTCAGGCCTTTACTGCAGRGGTTTCTAGTACCTGTTTGTTTGTTTGTGGGCCTTTCTGTGTGAAGTTTAGTCTTTAATGAGTGAAATATTCAGTTGGGTTGGATCAGCTGACTGACTTGGCCATTCTAGAATATTCCACTTTTTTTGCATTAACTAAACGCCTGGGTTGCTTTGGCTTTATGTTTTGAGTCATTGTCCATCTGTAGTATGAAATATTAAAGGTAGTGCGACCCCTGCTGTTTTCTGCATGACCTGTTCACCTGTTCCCCTATGTTTTGTCATGTGTGTCTTTTGGAATGGGTGTTCTTAACTGTAATGTAATTGTGCTCTATACAATGACAATAAATCATCATCATCAAATGCTGATCAAACAGTTTGGCTGGGGTTGAGCACACAGTATGTCTCTGAATACCTCCAAATTTATTTGACTGCTTTCTTTCCATCATTCTGATACAGGTTGATCTTGGTTTCATCTGTACAAATAATGTTCTTCCAGAACTGTGCTGTGCCTTTTTAGATGTTTTTAGCAAAGTTCAATTTAGCCTCCTTTTTTTTGATTCTTGGAGCTTGTGAGTGGCTTGCAGCGTGCAGTGAACCCACCACTACCATGTTTAGCTGTAGAATAAACACCTTTAACTTTTTTTCCAACTTTAAATTTCATGACTTTTCCTAAAGGGACCCCATCATTAGAAAAAGTGATTCTTTGTTTTGTTTATGTTTCCATGTGGGCTGTAACACCACTAGGGTACAAAGATTATCATATGGGTCATTTTGACCCGTGATTTATAAAAGGATTTAATATGTGAAATTATTTCAGCTGTCACTGGATGGTGCTAAAGGAAATGAAACACTGATGCCCATCATATTRGTGTGTTAAAAAAGGGACTTTTTTGTGTAGCCTACTATTACTGTTAAATTATCTTGAACTTATTTATCAGAGGCAAATATTTGCTTCAAAAGCTGTCCTTAGATATTGTTATGGCAATATTTATTTAACAAAGACAGAAATACGTGGTCCAAGAATGAAGGTACTCTGTGAGCTGATCAGCTGAGTTTTATTGCAACAACAGGAAACACAGAGAACAACCTGCTCTGTCTCTGTGCCTCTGCTTCTCTCTGTCACTGTCTCTCCACACTGCTCAATGTGTCTTGAGAGGCCTCATTTACAGTATTTATTACCAAACACCATTATGTCATATTAGCAAGATTTGATACAAGGTCAATGGAAAACACAAAGATAAACACAAGTGATATCTAAGAATGACTGTTGTTAGCAAATCTTGTTGTGACGTTAATCATTCTGTCTGTAGATGAACAGCACGTCATGAAAACCTAGGTCATTAAAGGATGTCATGAATTACTTGCTTAAACATAAAAGTATTAGTTCCATTACAATATAGGTGATGCTTTGTTTCATGTTATTTTACTGTTTTTGAAGTTTGATGTTAATGTCATCATTTTGTTTAGATTTTATTTAGTTAGAAATAACATCACAAAACAGTAAAAAAAAGTTTGTTATTGTCCTGATTCAGAAAAAAATATATGCCTACTGTTCCTACTCTTGTACACACTTACATTGTTTAAAAAACTGCTTCAATTTATTCAGAAGTTTTTGTTTATGTATTTATTATATGACCAAAGTGTCAAAATTGTCATCGACGTATCATCTTGATAACCATATAATGTACTGATTTGTATTTAGTGACTAGAGTCACCGTCTTTGGAGCACGATGTGGGCTGTAAACTGAAAAACTTTAATAAGAAAATTTCAATAAATAATTTTACTGAACAAAAGCAGACAGGGTTTATGTGCTTATGGAGAAGGCTTTTTTCTGACCAGGTCAGTGCTGATCAAGATAATCCTTATCAATCCCTGAACCACAAATCTACTTAAAAAGAAAAARATGAAATTGTCAAATTCATCTTTTTTCCTTCAAAAAGAAAATCAACAGGATTTATTTGGCTGTGTGTTGCTCATTTATTGGCATAAAACTGTTAAATATTACATCGCCTTTTTTATAAAACCATATTATATATTATATTAATGTTTATTGCTAAATCATAAAAAAGAATAAAACCCCAGCCATAAAAAATGTCTTAATGGCTAAATTTGTTGGTTGATGGAATATAAAATATAGAAATAAAACAAAATATATCGGTGTTAAAATAAAAGGATATTAAAACATGAACAAAAATATACTGACTTCATTTCTATATCATAAAACCTATACGCATGCTGAAGCTACCATGAAAAAACATGCTCATGTTTAGCTTTGAGCTATAAATGCCATCCTAATGTGCACCATGTAAGCTGCAGACAGACTGTGCTGAGATCATTTAAACAARGGAGACAAAGATTTGATGCTATGCCAATCATTTCCTTTCCTGCATTCTATCCTTTCATGCTGCAGGAAATTGAGAAGAGCATGAACATTTGACAGCATTTACAGTACAATACTGAAACAGATACTCATTTATCAAGACTGATTCTTCACTCCACACAATCATCATGCTTACATAAGTTATTAGAATCACAGCAATAAAAATGAATAAATGCAATCCTAAGGTGTATGAGAAGAATCAGATTTTGGTCATTTGAGTATGGAGAAGAACCCAGGAAGTACTGTATATGTGAAGTCAGAAGCTTGGTTGGTCATTTACATCCATTGTTTTAACTCATCCTGATGCAGATCAAACTATCTTTTCACTGATGCAGCTGTGTGGCTAAAACTCTTCTGACACTGGCTGGTATCTTAAAACTGCAGGTCCTGATGTTCAATAGATTTTTTTTCCAAGAACCAATGTATATTTATTGTTCTTAGTTGTCTACATTATAATTTAAATGTGACCTYCAACAGACTCCAGTGGCRCTGAAGGGACCCACATAACCAGAAGTAACGCTGATGTCATACTGTATGTACATGTGTAGTAGATTTTCTTCAATAATTACGGACTCGATATTAATTTATCATTAATTTAATGAGAAAAAACAATGTCATGTTGCACATATTTATTTTTTTCTTTCATTTTATATAAAATATTTAAAATACATCAATTACAACTCCATCTCTATATTTCATTATTTATAATATTCTGAAATCATGTAAGTTAAAAATGATTGTCTAATAATTGTTCATAATCAACCAATTAAAATATTTATTGAAACACTTTTTGTATTGAAAGTATAACACAAAGCCTTTCACACCAGGTAAAAACAAAACACAAAATATGCCAAACAAACAACAAAAAAACACATAAAATCATTTAAAACAACTATACATTGCAAAATAGTCCAACAGTGGTAACTAATGTGTGGATGGAATTAAACACAATTTTAATCATTAAAAAAACACTAATGGGATTGAAATATAATGTAAAAACATTGCAAAAACATGGATAAAATAAAAACATAAAACCAAGACAAAAAAGGCAGAAAAAATAAGCTAAAATGAAATAAACATAACTACTTTCCTAAAATGAGTATTATTATTATTATTATTATTATTATTATTATTATTATTATTATTATTATTACGCTCACATATCTTCCTTTTCAAGCCCCAGTCCCTGTCCAACACGTCCCGGCCCCCCGCCCGCTCAGACGCTATGTCCGCCCCTGCCCCCGAGCTCTCTCTGCTCCTCCAGCGGTTCTTCTCCTCAGATGGCCTGCTGCTGCAGCTCGCGTTACAACTCGTGGAGGCAAGAATGACCTCGGGGTTCCCTCCCATCAAGGCACTCTACTCATAGAAACGGATTTGAGGCGCTTCTCTTTTACAAAAGGAAGGGGGGGAAACCTGCAGTAATAATGGCGTTMCATGGTGCACCTGTGTGGACGCGGCTGGTCGCGGCTGTCTTCACGTTCGCTGCGCTGTGGGGATCTGCGCTCTCCATCACTCGCTACTCCGTACCGGAGGAAATGGAAGCGGGCTCCTTTGTTGCCAATCTAGCCACGGATCTGGGTCTGGARGTCCGCAGCTTGGAGGAGCGCAACGCAAAGCTCGATGTCATTCATAGCAAGAATTACCTTGACATCAACAAAGACACGGGGGAGCTGGTAATCCGCGAGAAAATAGACCGGGAGAYCATATGCATGACTAAAACAACCTCGTGCTTTCTGAAGATGGACGTCATTCTCTCAAACCCTGTCCGCATTTTTAACATCGAGCTGGAAATCATGGACATCAATGACAACGCGCCTGTGTTTCGCAGGAAGACAATGCACTTGGACATTTCCGAGGCAACCCCTCCCGGTGAGAGATTRTCCTTGACAAACGCCGTGGATGCGGATGTGGGGGCGAATTCTATCAAYACCTACTATTTGAGTGAAAGCAAATACTTCAACATTGACATACAAACGGGCAGCGATGGTTCCAAATATGTTGATTTAGTGGTGAGTGGCCATTTGGACAGAGAGGAGCATGCAGTCCATAATCTGATTTTAACAGCTGTGGATGGGGGGGTTCCTCCCCGCTCTGGCACAGCCAGCATCATTATTAATGTCTTGGACATTAATGATAACGCCCCTTCGTTCAGCCAGTCAGTGTTTGCAGTCAGTGTTTCAGAGAACTCTGCAGTAGGTTCAGTGGTTATGACCTTAAACGCAACAGATTTAGATGAAGGCACGAACTCCCAGTTGATTTATTCATACACGCTTTACACCTCAGAGAAAACGCAGGAGCTGTTCTCCCTTGACCCAAACTCAGGTGAYATCAAAGTGAAGGGGGTGATCGATTATGAGGAGAGTCAAAGTTTTGAGATGCACATCCAGGCTCAGGACGGAGGGACAAACCCACTGTCAGGACACTGCAAAGTGATAGTTTACGTCACAGACATAAATGATAACTACCCTGAGGTGACCATCAAGTCCCTGAAAAGAGCGGTGGCCGAAGACATCTCTGTMGGGACGCTGATTGCTGTGGTCAGTGTCAGCGATAGGGACTCTGGAGAGAATGGGGAAGTGGACCTCAAACTTAACCAGCAAGAACTTTTACCGTTCATCCTGAGTAAATCCTCAGAGGGTTACTTTGAGCTACTGGTAGCAAAGGAACTGGATAGGGAGATAAAAAGCAAGTATGATATCACACTAATAGTGTCAGACAGAGGATCACCACCCTTGTATGAAAATGAGACCATCACCTTGGAGATCCTAGATATCAATGACAATGCACCCACTTTCTCCCAGTCTTTCTACACAATCCATGTTGTGGAGAATAATCCACCTGGGGCGCTGCTGACATCTCTAAGTGCATTTGACCCAGATCTCAATGAGAACCAGTATTTGGTTTATTTCATAATGGAGAAAGAGATCGTTAACACATCCATGTCAATGCTTTTCTCCATCAATCCAGAGAACGGGGACCTTTATGGCCTAAAGACTTTTGACTATGAGAGAGAAAGGGAGTTTTTGTTTCACATTGAGGCGAGAGACTCTGGTGTTCCCCCACTGAGCAGCAATGTGACGGTTCATATTGTCATTCTGGACCAAAATGACAACACGCCTCTCATTGTGTCACCTTGGCGGGCACACGGCTCTGTCGTTGAGGAGGTGATACCGAGGTCCACGGAAAAAGGACACTTGGTGGCCAAAGTAGTRGCCGTTGATGCGGACTCTGAGCAGAATTCCAGAGTGACCTACCAGCTCCTGCAGATCAGTGACTCAACACTCTTTAGCCTGGATCAGTATAATGGCGAGATTCGAACTACAAGGATGTTTAGTCACAGGGATCCAAGACAGCAGAGGTTGGTAGTTATTGCCAAAGACAATGGCGAGCCTGCTCTCTCTGCCACMGTCACCATCAAGATATCAACAGTGGAACATGCCATGACCTTCTTAGAGACTACCGAGTTGCCTCTAGAGTATGAAGTCTTCACAAACCTAAACCTGTATTTGGTGATTGGTTTAGGAGCTGTGTCGTTTTTGCTGCTGATAACCATCTTGGTTATTATTGTCCTCAAGTGTCAAAAACCAAAGCCAAAGGCCATCAAGATGCCCCCAGCCAATAGAAACAGCATGATCAGCCAGAGGAGTTCCACCATCGCTGATTCCACCTTGATCTCCAGTGATGCCTACTGGTACAGCCTATTTCTTGCAGAAACCAGGAAGGGTAAAGTGGTTGTGAGACAGCCCATAATCCCCAAAGGAGCTGGCTACTTTGTGTCCAGTATACCCAGGAGCATAGGCCCGAGTGAGACGACAGATTCCAGAGCGTCCACACTGGAGGTATGTTGATATGGGAACAACTGTGTATGAGGGGAAAAAAGATAATAAAATAGACAACAACTGTGTTTTGTGGAATGCAAAAAAAAAAAAAAAAAAAAAAAAACTATATATTATTTGTTGAAGAGGCAAGTTTTTCTTAATATTTGACTACCATTTGGGTTGAAAACAAAGATTTCAGTATGATGATTTACAATTTTCATACCAAAAATGTATATTTTCTGATGTACATTTTTTATTAAAAAAACAATAAGCTCCCTGGCTTCTTGTTTCAAACTTATCTAGCTCTAATAAACTTGCACTGTAAGCATCTATTAAAAACATTACAATGAAAAATATACTTATGTACAATAGTTTTTCTATATTTTCTATAATAGTTGCTGTATTGTAAAAATGTATTTCCTCTCTAACCCTTATAGTCACTTGTTGGCAAAAATGTCTGTTTACTGCCTATTTTCTACCACTTTTGAAAGTTAAAGTTATTTTTATGCATTGCAAGTGCAAAAATCAGAAAAGTATGTGAACAGTTGAAATTTTTTCAGGATTTGATTTTAAAGGTCCAGTGTGCAAAGCTTGAAAACAGTAGAGATGGAAAAAATAAATTGCATGTAAATTTTGCTGTTGGTTAAGTATAGTATGAATATATTGTATGAATTAGGATAGGGCTGCACTAAAAATAAAAATAATCATCATCATAATATCAGTGTGCACAATAGCTATATTGCAAATGACTTAGACTACAATAAATTAAAGGCGTTTATAAAGTATATCATTCATGTTATGTATGCTGATAATATATCTGGTCAATTCAATGAATTCACTCTGGCCTTGATGCCCACACCTGTTCAGATGATGCCATTACAATATAAGTAGGGAAAATATGGGTTAATGACAGCTGAGATTGTCATGGCAGTATTAAAAAATATATTGCACTTTGCAAGTTTTTCTAATATTGTGCAGTTAATTATCACATCTTGCATTTTTTTCTTTATACCACTTGCACTTACTAAGAATAATGATGTTTAAAAATATGAAATTCAGCTTGTTGATCAGATGTGTAGTTGTAGATCAAATTTTCTACACTTTTATTCCATAATTAGTCTAAAAATCCTAGCCTGCCTTCCCTCCCCCCCAACCTCTTAAATCCGCCTCTGTTTGATCTTATGTAGTATGTAGGTCAGGCATTGCAGATACATAACACACAATCATAGCATAACCAGTAGGCGTAAGAGGGGGAGCACTACAAAGGAGCCCAGATTCGGAGGAGTTCTCTTCAAGGACAAGAAATATGGCTGATCTAAATTTGATGCGTTCTGAATCCTCAAGCGGTTCTCTGGTGCACAGTAAACTGCTATCAATTTGTAAGCACTGAAAATTCTCCAGATGTTGTTTGTTTTGTTTTTTTTTTTTCCCCTCATGCAGGTGGTTCTACAAAGTAAACCTAACCATGCAGTGCACTGAGAAATTCAACAATATAAATATGAYTGCAGGTGCACATGGAGGGTGGGGGACGAACTGATGTGTGTAATCTGTAATGTGAGCTTGAGTGTCACACATGCCACTGAACTTGTTTCTTTTTTTCTGTTCTGAAGTTCTCAAAATGAACGGAAGTCCATTCTACAACTGGAGGTATGCTGGTTGCTAACTACGCTTTTGTAGAGCCACTAATATTTTGTTGACATTTTCTATCCGTCTTTTCTATTTAATACAAATGCTTGGTTAGACTCAAAGAAACCGATTCAATGAAGTGCCGCACAAATCTTTCACTCAATCCGTTTGAGTTATCATACTATCCAAAGTAAATGGAACGGAATCCAATATTTCCACTCATTCRTGGTCAGACTGTCCCTCGGAAACACAACCATTCGCTTCAATCCAACGCTGCTGTGAGCACTGAGATTGAAACTGGCTGCTCTCTCAGGCGAAGCAGCCTCTCAGRTTATATTGAAAGCTGAGATTAGAATAAAATTGGCTGCTGGTCAGATTTCTCTTCTGCACATCTGGCTGTAGGTGGACAGAGATTCGGGTTAAAGTGATGGTTCTGACAGTAAAATAAGAACAGGGAATGCATCCTTCCATGTAGGTTTCACATGTCTGCACATAAAGCCCGCTAGAAGCAGGGAACAAATATATTTTCTTCTACAAAACGTATACAGTACTTAACTAAAAACACCACAGTTGACTGTTTTTGCATGCTTTAAATATATATTATACATATGGCCTTTATTTTATTTGTTATGTATTTCAGTCTGACTGATACGAATGATTTGGTGAAATGTGCAGAATAGAAAATCAATCAAACATAAAAGCGAGTAATTGATTCCCTCTCCGTTCTAAATGACCCTAAAATTCCACAGCATGTCACTGATGGTGGCAGTAACCAGTCACGATCCAATGTTGCATGAGTGAGGACTTTCTGTTTCTTCGTATTGTGGCTGGCTTACGTTTGTGACTAATTTTCTGTTCTGTCTTGCAGCAGGAGCCCCGGAGAGATCGGCGGTGATCTTATCTCTTCGTTGGAGTCTAAAGATGAACCTTTCCTGTGACTCACAAAGATCATGTAACACAGCTGTTTGTTTTTTTTTTTTTTTTCATGCAGAAACTCAAAACACAATCATAAACCTACATATGAATCAGGGTAAATAAGCTCCTTCTATACATTTGATACATTCATAATTGTAGCTGGTTACAGTATTTTTGAGATTCAAGCATTGCCCTTGGGTGTTCTTTTTTTTCTAGTTTAATTTTTATGTATTTCAGGAGACCTTAAGTGTTACAAGACTAAAACTTTTATGTAATTTTATGAAAACAAAACAAAAAAGTGACACAGTTTTAGATTGTTTTCTATATGTTTATTGTGCTTGACAAATTCTGAATGTCGAAAAAGAATGAAAAAAACAAGTAAATGAAAAAAACTAACTTAAAAAAGTACTTTTCTTATTTGATTGTAGGTGCAGTAGTTCTATAGAAATTCTAATGAGGTACATAAGATAAAAATCTAACAATATATGTGCAATTCAATCTTTGTGTTACTTGATACATATGAGTTGCACTGCAATATTAAATCTTTTGAGCCAAATCTATATGTGTTAAATATTTCTATACAATCAGCTTATTTTTCTCTTGTCGGAGAAGGGAAGTSTTTGGCTATTAGAAAACTGTGCCGGAGTGGGGAAAAGTTGAAACAAACAAATAAATTGTATTTTATCCAAATTTATTTTCAGATTTAACTTTCCCCTGTATTTTTTTTTTCTGTCTATATAAGCTCTTTTTAACTTTTAAAAGGTTTAAGAAAAAACCAAGGCCAAACTTAAAATGATGAAAACAAAATGTTTTGAATTCAAATTTTGACCTAAAAAAACTTAACTATAAATGTGTTTTATGACAAAAACTGATTTTTTAAAATGTATTCAACTTTGCTGTGAGGTGCAGACAAGGTGTTCTTTGATAAATAATGTTTTTTTAGATGCATATTTTACGTAATAACTTTAATTGCTGCTTCTGTGCGCTTCTTTAAGGACATTTTGTGTTGCATATTTGTAGTGTAGTGCTTATGAAGTTGTTTTGGTCGTGTACATGAATAAAAAATGAAACGAGAATACTTCTCTTGACCTCAAAGGTGGTGCAGTTGCACCGCCACGGAAAGCCCAGGACTTTTTAACTTCTCTGGAACAAGGAGCTTTTTAAGAACGCTCATTAGCGTGCCGAATGATAAAATGTTACGACATGAGCTAGGCAGGATGGATTATGGGAAGTACGTGGTATTAATTATAGCCACAGTATTTTTGTGCTGACTCCGCTGACAGTGCAGGAATGGTATTAAGCGGAGGAGAGCACTTTGAATTTGGAGTATGCACTGAATCTAAACATGATCCTTCGCTCCCTCGCTAATGCAGCAGAGATGGGATAGTTCTGGATGTATCCAGCTCCTCACTCTGAGTCAGTGAAATCTGACCTTCCCTTTTATTTTCTCTCATATTTTCAGACCAAACTTTGAAAGCTGTTTATTGGACTGAAGATTTCACATGATGAGGGATCTCTTGCTATAGTGAGCAATTCAAGGGATATTTTCAGCATTTTGATGTGGGATTCTGTGGAACCTTTACGACCAATTAACATCTTGTTGTAAAAAGCACTTTGAACAGCCTGAGTTTGGAGAGTTTACATCAGACCAGACCAGATTCTTATAAAAGTTGTGCGTTGAAGCAGCCAAGTGARCAGCAAAATTGATTTGTGAAATTTCAAGTTCATACATGCAGGTGCATGACGCGGCACAAAAAAAGTTGAAAAATGTTCAACTTTTGTCACGTTGCGCTACAACCAATCAGCGAGGGTTTCATTGACTGACCAATGAGCTGAGCTTATAGTACACACTGCAGTCAGTGAACATTTTCAACATGGAAGAAAACGTTATTGTAAGTGKGTCCAACTTTGCACGTAAAAACTGCTTTAAAAATGTCAAAATCCCTCCAGTTTCATGACCAATCAAATGATCTGTGCCAGTTGGTGGCAATAATGCACACCATTTGTTTATTTTTATTTTTGCCAACCGTCAATAAAATCTACAAGACAAAGAAAAACCAATCAAATTCTTGGAGATAAGAGGCCCGATGGTGCGATTCACAACGCTGCCATTGCTAATGCATCCTGTTGGGTTTCAGTCCGGCGATGATTGCCACCTGTCATTGTCATTTGTTGAGCCCTTAAGACAGCAATTACCTACTTTATACTATAGTTTGGATTAACTATCATTAACTTCTCTAATAGATCAAAGAATCATTGCTTTCAGTCTTAAAATATCTTCAGTTTTTAATGCTGTGATAGAAACGTTTGCATCGACATCATTTCATATTATATTATTAAGGTAGAAAGATTAACTAACTGCTTCAAATAATAGAATATTACATAAATAACTTTGTGATATATAACATTTTAAAGCAAGCTATTTTAAAATGACAAACTTTGGTCGGACTAATCATTAGCTCTTCAACCTCATTAACTGTAAACTCCCTTTCTCCAAATGGAAGTTGCTCAAAGTGCCATCTACAGCGGGAACATTTAATTTGTTGTACAAATTCTCCCATCAAAATGGCTGGAGCATCCCTTTAATTCCAACAGTATTTATCTGTTTATCAAGTTGCACATATGATGAGCTCCTTGCGTGCCTTTTGCCTTGTAAAAAATGACTGTTGACAACTGAAAAAATGGCATTTCTTATAGTATTACAAATTAGTTTCTCCCACAATACAGATCCTGAACTGCTTGGTGGACAGGAGGACTTTTGGATTCAGAACACATCATGAACCCGTACATGCATTTACTGTAAATTGAACTGCTTTATAGTTTATGTTTTTTTATATAACTTTTTTATTATCTTGTGTGTTCACTGTGATCGAATGGCACAGGAGGCGCTTGAGCTCCATGTAGAAAACAAGACTTATTCCTCATCTGTTTCTTTCTCTGCAGCTACTTCGCCAGTCAGGCTGTACAATACGCTTTAGTGATCACATCAAACGCTCTCCAGTGTCATTCCATTCAGCAAATCAGATATAGTATGGGTGAGAATGGTTTTGCTTTGMTATCGAGTCTAGTTAACTGACAGATTTTTTGATGTTGCTTATTTGATTCTAATGTAATGCCTGATCATGCTAGTTTGAATAAAGATTTTTAAATCTGCCTCTTTGTTGWGTCTGTGGTAAAAACATGAAACAGAAGTTAGCAAAAGCGACTTGTTTTTTGCCCCTCCCACTTTCTCTCTTTTTCTTTTAAATTCCCTCTCACACACGTTTTGACCCAGTTTCTCTTTATAACSCTCTGTGCTAATTCTTGGAAATTAAAAACTGAATTAGGGAATATGGTCTGCTGTGTAAACTTTATCAAACAAATAATAACTTTGTCAGGATTAGCACAGCTCTGAATCTGACTAACATTTTTGGTTTGATCACACAAGCATGAGAACATAGTCCCCAAGTTGTTGTTTTTTTTAAGAATATAACATTAACAACTTTCATGGTACATTTTAACATACAGTAATAATGTTTTACACATTTACTATAGTAATTTTATATAAAAAGACATGATAATGATGAAGACAAAAGTTATGATCCTAAAATCTTGTAACTAATTTGRAAGTTACAAACAAATAAACTAATAAAAAGCTTGGGAGGAAGTTAATAGTATTCTTCAGGACACAAGCTTTCTGGAAAGCTAAACTCTACATCGAAGGCCTTGAGGTCCAACTTACTTGTGCTCTAAGAGGATCTGAACTAGGTCAGCAGAGCTGAGCAGCACACCAAAGGCTACAGACGTGTGCAGAGTGCTGCTGCCATCAGTTCTCCCCGGTGGGTTTGATTTTCAGAATGGGTCCTCTAACTGAGAGGGTTGCACAACAGGCTGTCTGAGGGCACAGCTGTGATTTTATAACTTCAAGGAAAAAGTGGACTGTTATATTATTTTAGGCTTAACATTTATTTTAAAAGGGACAGTTTTATAGACATTTTATTGTWCAATAGTTTTAATTCTTTTACATGTTCGCTGTAGTAAAAGTTGAGTAAAATACCACAAATATCATTGCCAGAATTTCACCTTTTAAAAAAATGACGTTATACTTAACAGAATATTTATTTGAAACTCTAAATTTCACAGCTGAGAATTGTTTACAATATTTTTTTTAATTTATTTTAACTTCAAATTTATAGTAATTTACTGGCAGCTGCAGATGTTAGTATTTCGTGCAGCACTCTGACGTAATCAAAAGCTCAATATTTGTGGAGCTCATTCAAGGTCCCCACAGGACCCCGAAGATGCAGAATCTTAATTGCCCAAGCATGTTTGTATTTAAGAAGTGAATCCTTTTAAAGTACTCTGATACTATAGTATAAATATATTAACCACAAAAAGGCCCAGTGTACATTACTCTGCTTCCTCTGCTCATGTTTATAGTACAAGCTGATCTGAGGATAAGATGTGGTCAAAAGTMTGGCTGAGTAACCCCATTACATTGAGTTCACTGCTGCATTGCTTTTGTCTCTGGACTGCTTCATAAATAATTTTGCGTTCTTTRTCCATTGCAGTAAATAACACTTTTGTTTGCATGAACTTAGACCTGCAGATTGCAGTCTATTGATTCAGTAAGTGTTTCTTCACTGCAGACTTTTTGTACTAAGTCCTTAATTACAGTGTCCAAAGTGAAAATGTTCAAAGTGAAATAAGGTTGCTTTGACATCTTCAACAAAATTTCCTGCTTTTTCTTAATTTGAGACAGATTGTATTTAATGTGTATAAATTATATTTCAAATCTTGCCCAAACAATAATTCTAAACCTTGAGTTACTTGTCTTTWTTTTTCTAAAAGTGTTATTAAAAAACAGTTGCTCTCTGTTCCTGKATATGACATGTCGTAACAGTCTCTTCAGGATATTAGACCTAATATGGTTTTCTAATTATCATTATGAACATTAGCTCCTCCACTTTTCATTGTGATGAGATTCAATTGGGTCGTCCCGGAGCAACCATTGTAAGTCTACTGATTTATTTACCATTCTGGGTTGTTTTTGGAACTGCATCCTCCGTCAAAGTGTGGGAGAGCTTGACCTATTTATGTAATACCCTGGCTGGAGCCCATAGACAATGAGGTCGTCGGCCTTTTCACCTCAGAGCTTTAGTTTGCACAACAGCTGAAAAGGATCAAATTAATAATTTCCAGCAAGCGTTTGTGTGGGTTGAACGGCAGCCAGGAGGGAAACTGAAGCACCATTCACTTGATTCTYAGATGGGGGGGATTTGCACAAAGACAAAAGAGTCATTGCACTGCTGCAGAAGGCGATATGAGCAGATTGCCACTCAGATTTAGGGATGCATAATGGACTTGACAAATCTGTTGCTGTAGTTGTGAAATTCATCATATTAAAAAATGTGAAATGATGAAGTATGCTTAAAACGTTGAATACAATTTTTGTTTTTATTGTCAACAGAGTAAACATGAATAACACACAGGCTGGAGATCTACAGCCTGTAATACTGAATGATAGATGGAGGAAAGCACAGTGAGATTTAAGCTGCTTTCTTGAGTGACGCCTGTGGCAGGTTATTTATGTGCATAGCTGCCCTTGCTGTGGGGTTTTTCCTGCACTAGTTAATGTTAGCAGTTCTGAGCTGCCTTTGAGATCACTGCATGTACAGTAGTAAAACATCCAGCAGGATTTCTAAAGCAAGATTTTTACTTCCTAAAAGTTGTAAAATATAAAACGTCTTCCTATCCACTCTAAAGCATTCCTGCAGTCATACATTGTTACATTTTCAGGTAAAATAAACTAACAGATATAGACCTGGTGAGGGGCTTTGTTCCATCCTGCTGTTCTGTGGAAAGGTTCTGATAGAATTGTATTATATGTGCTGTATAGCTCTTTGCACAGCCTCGGTTTGGAGAAATAGTTTAATTCTTATTTGGCAGACAAGCTCACYTACCAAATGTGGCCTTCCACAGCATTTTCTGAGAACTTCAAGGTGTATTATTGGCTTAAATAAAGTTGCATTAAAGCAACTGGGCATGTCTAGCACTGACAACATAATGTTTCTTCTGGAATAACAATGCAACGTAAAATTAAATGCAACACAGTAGCTCCTAAAGTATCATTTGTATAAACCTTCAAAAAATGTTTCATATTGGAGCTGTTTTATCATAAARCACAGCAATACACTTTGCTCTTGGCTTTGCTCAGACTAGCGATTAGCATGTCAGTGTAAATGACTATTAGCTAATCCAAACAAGGCCATGACTAAAATTTATTTGAAACAACTCCAATGTCAAAATTTCATGGCTGTTAGAAATGCTACAGCTAGCTGCRACAGATGCTGTTTGTGGCCACAGATGACAAAGAATCCCAAATACATAACTGTGCAACAAATTTGATTGTGATGCAGAAGGTTCTAAAAATAAAACCAATAAAAAAAACATTTCATTCAAGGAGCTATCTGCAACAGGTAAGACAGTAAGTGTTAATAAAACCCACTTCAGAAGATCTGAACCATCCCTTTAGAAGCATCTGAGAAGTATTTTGGTCTAAAAGGAGGAGTTGGTGAGCACAGTGCTGCAGTCCCAGGGTGCCAAGCTTGACTCCTACAGACCTGTCACCACACTGGGGTAAAAATAAAGCACGCTTTTGTGTGGGGACAGTACATCCGGTTTAAAACGCTGATCACAGCTCACATATTCATCAAYTTGCTGTTGCTATAGAGACACAAGTCTTATGCAACAAAAAGAAGATGGTTTCTAAAACCAGGCAGGTAAAAAAATCAGCTTATGTGAACTGAAAGCTTCTTTTTTTAATTAAAGCTCTTTAAAATTAATGTAATTTTTTTCGGTCTGTTGCAGACCAAAAAGAATAAAAATCTAACCAGTTCTAACTTTTCATTTGTCAACATATTGTGATCTTAGTGCATAAAATGTGTTTCACTTTCACTTTTATATGGCATTTATACCAAGATTGGTTGAGAGGAAAAAAATATTACCTTTGATTAGTATTATAACTCAGATTGATCCAGATAGCTTATTATAAAACAGGTCATGCTGCCTGTAAAGAAACACACTCATTCTGTGTCATGTTTTTCTTCAGGCCAACAGGACAGCCTTGCCCTGCCAGATGTTGTGACSGACTTTGATTTGGATTTCCCCAGACCTCTCCCTCTCTTTCAGATAACTTCCCTCTCCCAGTCGAACATTACCACTAACTTCTTATTTTGTGGTTTATAGCAGCCAATATCACTTCAACTAAAAGCTTTCTGGGGTTGATATTCAGTGATACGCCTGGTTTGTTTTGACACATGGAGGCTTGCAACAAAATATGCATAAAAGAAGTGTAGTTACAGGTCTGACCATTTTTATGTAGGCCCATTTGTCCTTTTAAAATAAGTTTGAGCTTAAATGATATATTTGTGCACAAATTTAACTCATCAAGTCTAACTAGTGTTACAAGTTTGTTACCCTGTCTTCTCCAGTCTCAGGAAAAACGTATAAGTTTATTTGATTTGTTAGGTAATGTATTCATTTTTATTCAATCAAGCAAATTCAATTAGGATCACAGATCTTTTTAGCAGTGGATGTCTGGGCCTGAAGGCAACCTGATGTGCATGTTTTGTCTGTGGGAGGAAACCAGACTACAGGGGCGGAGCAAGTTTTTTTTGTGCAAGGGGTGGCATAGGGGTGGTCATACTGTTAGATGCAAGCAAATACAGAATTCCTATTCAAATTCGGTCCAAGTAGAGTCTTAAATTTGTTTGATTTCCACAACCTTTGCMCTTGTAAATGGGCCTCAGCTGTTTTATTTATAATCAACTTGTTACTTCATGTCTAAAGATTGATTAAATCATCACAAAATCTATTAAAGGTAAAAGTACACTGTTAAATACCTACTGTCAAATTCTTAACAACCAAGCCACAGCAGAATGTCTCACGTGATGCCATCATAGTTCCTGATACACTGACACCTCACCAAGTTTAATCCACACTGGTTTGTGGATTTCTAATGGTTACCCCACTGTTCCTAGGCTTGTAGACCTCACCAAGTCCAGCAGAGGTCTTTAACTCTGCTCCTTGTGACCCAATGCTCTGCATGTTTTAGATGATGCCCTGCTTCAGCACATCTGATTAAAATGAATGAGTAATTGACAGACTTCTGCCAAACTTGAGGAAGTTCTGAGTATAGGTAATTTATTTATTTTTTTAATCAGGTGTGCTGAAGCAGGTAAACAATTAAAAACAGCTAAAATATGCAGGACTGTGAATCATGAGGAATAGGACAGAAGAGATGTCTGCATCCAAGTTCTAGCTGATATTTTATGTTAAAGCAGAGTATTTATCAAGGATGAAAGAGGCCCTCAGAGTAGTATTCTTATAGATTTTCAGGACAGGATGAAACCAAATGTCGTCTTTCTGTTTACGTCTTTTTGAACCATTGTWGAGTGTTTTACAGATAATCTGGGACAAKGCTTTTAATAAAGATTGCTTGTATCTCCACTCAGCCTATGTGCATCGGTTCAGAACTATAGAAAGGCACATGATCAGGGGCTTGCAGATGAAAATTTGCTGAACATGTCACAGAAAGTCAGACTTATTTCTTAAAGTGACCACCTCTATTAGAATTTACATAAAATATAACCATTTTTAGATTATGTTCCCCTGTGGAGCTTTAATTTTCTAAGCCTGGGGAGGGGGTGTGTCTGTGTGGGGGGCATGCAAAGGGCGAGACTGTCAGCAGCTTGTTCCCAAGGTGCAAAAACTGGGACATCATTCTCCTGTTTCCTTTTTGTTTTGGCTTTTCTTGCTGAGATAAGATAAGCCCAGGAAGTCAAACAAGGATACAGAGAACATGAGGCAGTGCTGCTGTGTCTGGAAACACTACAGCCTCATCAGAGATGGAAATAAATCTGCTTCATTCTCTGTTAATTTGTTAACGTCACAAGCTCAGCACACTTGCATGGATCTCCTATAGGTTTATGGATTATGTGAGAGAGAAGTGCTTTGGCTTCACAAAGCCTAGTCCTCCAAACGCTTATGTGACCTGACAGGCTGGGGTCCGCCGCTGACAGTGATCCATGCGGAGGGAAGGCTGCGATTGTCAGAGCGATGAACGCGGTCGGTCCGCAGCGCCTTGTCCCGCAAATGCTCGCCATGCGGTGGGCTACGCGCGCCGCAGAATCGCTACAGGCAAAATAAGGTTCAAGCAAAGACAAAGGACGGGGGAAAAAAAGGGAAAACAAACATGTGTCTGCAGCCATGGCACCCTCCCTCCTCTTCTCACAGCTGTTTATTATTCAGAGCAACAGCAGGTTTTAGCCAAATATTTGGGGTTCTAGCTCCCCGTCAGTGACTCTAATTAATTTTCCAGTCACGTGCTGCACAGCCGATCTAAATGATGTGCAGAAAATTGCAGGGTGGGTGCAAATGAGGACGATTAAGACTCGCCAATGTTTTTTAGTGGTTTCATTTACGTTTTTAGGGGTGTTGTTGATCTCAGAACCTGCAGCTCTAAAGGGGGTGGGGGTATAAGGGNGTGACAAGAGAGAGAGAGATGGGTGTGGAGTGGAGGGAAGGAGGGGAAGCTGCGCCACCGCGGAGAGAAAAGAAGAGCCAGACTCTGAGCGCGCGCCAGGGTGGGATGCAAAGTCAAGTCAGGTTTGATCAATTAAACCGCTTCCTGTTGAGTTTTCACAATACAGCTCCAGTTTCTGATTGCGCTTCTATAAATGTTTAATCAAGCACAGCACCTAGAGATGAATCTGCTAAAACAGACCGTGACGCTGTCAGAGAAACAAAATTAAACAAATATACAATGCAAACAGTAAAAATTTAAAAACAAGATTGACAAAGTCTGTGTTACAGCCTCTGAAAGGAAGTAAAAACTTTCTTACAGCTGAATTGTTGGCTCAATCCGCTTTCTCCTTTTAATAGTTTACAGGTAGAATTTGTATTTTGTCTAAAATCTTCCTGGTCAAAAATTGGAAAACATAAATGAAAGCTTCTTATTCTGAAAGTAGCGTTCTCCCTTTCCGGTTTTGTGTGCGTATTTTCCCTCTGCCTTCACTTTCTCACAGCTCCGGCTGCAGGGAAACACACCCGTCAGCACCGCGCACTGGAGACAGGAGAAGGAAAAAAAAAAAGGCGCATCACGGACAAAGGAAAATATGGGTGCGCTGGAGAGGATTGACTCCAGCCGGGTAAAGCTATGGATGAGCCGCTCCCCCTTCATCCACCGGGAGACCAATTAGCCCACCTTGATGAGGTGCTGGGATGCGAGATACTGCAAGCTGAAAAAGGCGGAAGGAAGGCTGCGTTTAATCCGTCTGCGGATCCTCCTGTGAGCTTGCCATGGCTGTAACGGGGATGATATGCAACCGGACGGGGAGAAGTATTGATGTGCCTTTTTATTTTGTGCTGTTTTCCTTATTTTGTGGCCTTGCGTGTGGACAGTTGCGGTATTCGATTACAGAGGAGCTGGAAAATGGGGCACTGGTCGGGGATCTGGCGCACGACCTGGGGCTGGATATTCGAAAGCTCGCCAGCCGGAGAATCAAGGTAACCCCATCCAGCAGCGCCAAGCGCTACGTGATTGTCAACCCCAAAAATGGGAAACTACTTGTCAACGACAGAATCGACAGGGAGGCGCTGTGTGATCTCTCCAGCACTTGCCTTATAAACCTGGAGGTGCTGGTGGAAAACCCCACAGAGCTGCACCAGGTCGAGGTGGAGATTGTGGACGCCAATGACAATGCGCCGCAGTTCCCCAGAGACGAGTACCAACTGGAGATCATAGAATCCGCCATGCCGGGGTCCCGTTACTCAATTGAAAACGCTCAAGACCCGGACGTCGGGTCCAACTCTGTCCGCATGTATCAGCTTAGCACAAACGAGAATTTTGCGCTCGTCTCCAACAAACCCTCCCTAAACACAAAGCACATCGAGCTCGTGCTCAAAAAGCCCCTGGATCGTGAGCAGACGCCTTACCACCAGTTAATTCTAAGTGCTGTGGATGGTGGGATACCAGAGAAGACAGGCACGGCCAAAATTAACATCAGGGTGCTGGACTCCAATGACAATGTCCCTCTGTTTGACAGCTCGGTGTATAAGGTGAAGCTGTTGGAAAACTCGCGTAAAGACACCCTGGTGATTAAACTGAACGCTACAGACCTGGATGAGGGCACAAACGCAGAGGTTTATTATTCTTTTAGCAGCTACACCCCAGAGAGAGTCAGACAGATGTTTAGCATGGACACTAATACGGGAGAGATAAGAGTGAGGAACAATGTTGACTATGAAGAAACCAACTCCTACGAGATGTACATCCAGGCTATGGATAAGGGCCCCGGGGCCGTGGCAGCCCACTGCAAAGTGGTGGTTGAGGTTGTGGATGTGAATGACAATGTCCCTCAGATTGTTCTGTCATCTCTGTCAAGCCCCGTGAGGGAGGACGCCCGTGCAGACACAGTTGTGGCCCTCATTAGTGTCACCGATCAAGACTCTGGCGCCAACAAGCAGGTGAGCTTAGAGATCCCAGCAGGCCTTCCGTTCAAGATCAAGTCATTCAGAAATTATTACACTCTGGTTACCTCAGCCTTCCTGGACCGTGAGACCACTGATGCCTACAATGTCACGCTGAGTGCCACAGATGGAGGGAACCCTCCCTTATCTTCCCAGAAAACCATACAGGTGGACGTGGCTGACGTTAATGACAACCCGCCACGCTTTGAGCAGACTTCATATACAGTGTATGTGACTGAAAACAATGCCCCTGGGGCCTCTTTGTGTACTGTGAAAGCTCAAGATGCAGACATTAAGGAGAATGCTCGCATCACCTATACAGTGCTCAATGACAACAACCACGGCATCCCTGTCACCTCATATGTGTCTGTGAAGGCCGATACAGGCGAGGCTTACGCCCTGCGAGCCTTTGACTATGAGTCACTGAGAGAGTTTCATTTCCAGGTCAAAGCCCAGGATGGGGGCATTCCTCCTCTCAGCCGAGTCGCCACAGTCTACATCTACATCATGGATCAGAATGACCACGCTCCACTGATAGTCAGCCCTGCTGGCAATGGGACCCGCTCACTGGAGACAGTCCAAAAGAACGCTGACCCTGGTGCCTTGGTGACGAAAGTGGTGGCGTATGATGCAGATGCAGGTCCAAACGCCTGGATGGTCTACGTGCTGGAGACAGCCACAGACCTGGACTTGTTCAAAGTGCATGAGCACACTGGAGAGATCCGGACCACTCGCAGGATCCTGGAGGACAATTCCACCTCCTTTGCTCTAACTGTTGTTGTAAAGGACCATGGCCAGCCAGCCCTCTCCTCCACTGCCACCATCAATGTAGCTGTCATGGAAATACCACCCAAAGTGGCCCCTGATACCAAGAAGGTCTCACGGCCCCACAACACACTGTTTTTCTCCAACGTCACCTTATATTTGATTGTGGCCTTGAGCGCTACAACGTTTGTTTTCCTGGTCACCGTGGTGGTGCTGGCTATTGTCCGCTGCCATGCCTACTGCTCCCAGCCTGGCTCCTGCTGCGGGTCACAGAAACCCCCTCCAGATGGTGGGAGCAGCAGTGTGAGTGCTGGTGGGGGAGGCGGCGGAGGGGCCACGGGACAGCCTAATAACAATGTGGTGCTTCGAAGAGACCTCAAAGTGGAGCCTCACTACATTGAAGTGCGAGGGAATGGCTCCCTGACGAAGACGTACTGCTACAAAACCTGCCTGACCGCCACCTCTGGCAGTGACACCTTCATGTTCTATAACACAGGGCGGCCCATCAGTGGCACCTGGGGCAGCGGCGCTGACCGCTTCTTCACCAGTGGAAGTGGATTTGTGCGCAGATTGAGCATGCCCGACGCTTCACTGCAAATCTGCCCAGAGGTTTGTCATTCATTTTTTATGATTACCTTTGCCTATGTGCCGCAAATGATCAATTTTTCATGTCAATACAAGTTTTGGATTGAGTTTACACACTTATTACACACATACATTAAACTTCTCATTGTGCTGAGGGTGTTGTTACTGCATGAACTGAGTCCGCTTCTTTGCATATAGAGTTATTTTTCACTGCAGTAAGGAGACATTTCTGTATGTCAAGTTTGATCTATTCCTGTGTTTTGAAGAGAATCTTTGCAGCATTCATTCTCTTTCTTCACTCGTACTGCCACACAGCCCTGCCAAACTAAGCACTTGGACTGAATTACTGTCAGTTCTGATGCTTTTCAAGAGACCTGTGTTTCATCTGATTATTCAGAAATTTATGTTTCCCTATCAGTTTGTTATCACGTCTGCACCACAAATACAGACACACAAAAAAAACCACTTTGTCTTTGACTAAACTGGTCTGTGTATTAAAATATGCGAGTGAAACGTGGTTGTAACACATAAGTAGCAAAGCCAGGTTGATTTTGCACCTGCTTCAGTGTCCCAGTTATCCCTTACAAATGTGTATAAAAGTAATGTAGGTAACATATCTGGGTCATAGTATCTACAAAGTGTGCAGTCATGAAAGTTGTTACACTCATTACTTTTTGCAGAACTAGTTTTGGTCTCTATATTTTAGGAACTTTTTGTTGTTCACACATTAGAGGCTATAGATAAACCTTTTTTATTTATTTATACATAAACATCTTAATATTAAAGCAAAAATTTCCATAACTAGATAGCAACAATAAAGATGAGCTCTTTTGAAGTTGCGTTCTGTAAAAAGRTTATAAAAGTAATATTTTACCTGTTCTAAATCACTTTTTAATGTTCTGTTTAGAGACATYGTCTTTAATTCTGACTGGATAGAAAAGTCTGATTCAAGCTAAGACCAAAGTAGAATAATAGTTATTGTGAATYCTGCTTTATAAACCCTTACATTGCCATCTGTTTCACATTATAGTCAAATAAATTTATACTCCAGCTACAACGGTGTTTGCGCTCGCAAAATTGGATCACAGCATCAGCAAAGTGGAAACTCTTGAGTATTGAATTTAATCATATATTAATAAGGGTTTTGGCTGCTATTTGCTCTTGCAAATCCCAGATTATTGTTTCAATGACAAAATCAAGATGAAGGTTTATAAAATAGTGGCTGAACTGCTTTTATATCTTTTTAGGACTGGAGTTGTTTTAGAACAGCAGCAGTCATGTTCGGTCTAGTTAGATAATCAGTCTGGTCCGAAATAAACTCTGTGTCCAAACTGAGGTTGTTCAGAGAGCTATTTACAACWGGTAAAATATTAATTGTTAATAAACTCATTATCKTGTTTGTTTTTGCAGAACCCCACTTTAAACGCTCCCTTTATTGAATGTTGTGACTATTAAAAGACTGTTAGTAATGCAGTTGTCATTTATATATAAATCATACCCAGACTGTGTGGCTGTGTAAATTAGATTAACCTGCCTCCTTGCTCCTCATCCCCTCAGATTAGATTTATTCATATAAACTAGTTGGAGCAGCAGAAAACCTTCCCCTCTGAATTCAGCTGAACATAGTTTATTATCTGAATGTGGGACACTTTTTAGTGCGCAGGTGTTTCTTCTCTTTTTTAATATTCATGACTGAACCTCATAGTGCAGCCAAACCTTACAGTAAAAACATGTAGAAAAGGTACCAATGATGCAGTGTCCATGAAAATAATGTTATTAGTAAAGTTTGGCTTTATTGAAGGAAAGCTACAAAAGTCCAGACAGCTTTGACAAAACCATTTTACTAGTATGTTTCTATTATATTACATGTGTTTTATGTTCTCAAAATCATTAAAAGTATACTTATAATGCATGCCAGATGATGTTGTTGCCATGGTGATGGTGACGATGCCTGCTGAATTTTAAAAGCAACTTTTTTTTTTCTTTAACTGAGTGGTCTACTGGGAACTACATGCAATCAGACCAGTTTCATTAGGAGCAGCCAGATTTACTCCAGTTATCCACCAACCCACACACACACACACACACACACACACACACACACACACACACACA